TTCTCGAGCGCCGAGGGGAGGGGCGGGGCGTTGTGCCTCACTGTATCAAGTCTTCAAGGAGATTTCAACTCAGATGTTGGGAAACACGATATAGTCAAACAGACAGGGTGTACTGTTCCAGCAATCCAGGAGGAGCCAAAAAGAAGATGTCGATCCTTGAGTTGCGTTTTCCGTTTTTCCCCTGTTTTGCCGCAAGTTGCAGCACACACGGCGATTACCAGCAGCCTTGCAACCTGCCAGGTCCTGGAAGAGAAGTTGCATATCTCCAACGAGGCACGACCGACTCTGTGGACAGAAGGGTATAGGCTGATGATCATAGTAGAAGGGCATCAGATCCAAGAAACCAGTTGCTGGTTCTAACATGTTCTAACTGTTCTCGCATGCAGTGAAGCACGTTGGGGTCACCCAAATCTTAGGTTTCCCAGTTGTAATCTGAGGTTCTTAGGTCACCCAAGCACAGATGATGTGAACGCTGCTGATCAGGTTGTGTGCTGCATCACAGCCAGAAGGGCCAGATATTCTGTTTCACTAATTGTGGCAAAACACAAATCATACCAGCACCTCCCTGTCGGGGTCACCAATGGAAGCCCCTACTTAGCCCTACTTGTGGATCTCCAGTTTTCGCACCCCGACAGGAAGGTCGTATGATATCTGAATTGGTGCCAGGAGACCATGGAAATTTTTGATGCTCTGGACACCAACCACGACGAGGAGAGATCACACACGCGGACCGCGTGCGGACCGCGTGGTTCATCGATGTGACTTGGTTACTTGGAACATCGGCACACATTCGTCGAAAAGTAGGAACAAGTGCCACGCTACTAGGAACAAGTGCATCGCTTCTAGAAACAGGTGCCTTACTAGTAGTAACAAGGTTCGCTACTAGTAACAAGTGTTCCTAGTTCAATTTGGTGTTCCTACTTTCTCTTCGTTCGTCGATGGCAGCTTTCTGCATGTTTTTCATATCTCAAAGACGACTTGCAGTCGGAATCCAGCTCCATTGCAGCAAGAATCACATGTGGTTCATCATGGTCCAACTGTTCAATTTGGTGCATCGCCTCTCCAATCAACTGCATTCCTCGCCGAGGAGATTCACTATTCGGACTTCCTAGCTGCCATGGTGAGACTCTCGTAGCTGCTAGGTCAGTTTCGAGGCAAATTCAACCAGATCTATACCAGGACCATCCAATGGGTGTTTAATGGAGATCCCTATAAGATCCTACAAGCAGAGCAGGGTAGTCTATTGGACACCCCGTGGATGGTCCAGGTATATCAATCCATTCTGGGGAGTATTGCTACAAAGGTTTGCTTTGCGAGTGATAAGCCTGTTGAGTCGAAGTGTTGTTTGCATGATCCCTGTCAAAGAAAGGAGAAGATCCCAACATCAGTTTAAGTCAAGTCGAGTCAGGATGATGCTTTTTTTACCGTTTTCTTCAGATCTTTAAACAATATATGTTTGTTGGTCAAATTGAGTCACGATTCCAACAAGATGAGGGGTTTGGTCAGAGATCATCGTAGCTCTGAACCGAGGTGAGCACACGAATTTCGGTGCACGACCATCTGTTGCAGGCCCCGCCCCCGGTTATCAGACATAGCCGAAGTTTCTGTGTATAGTGAGGTCCTGCTCAGGACAGTTTTATAGCAAGACCAATTCCTGCTCAAAACATGATCGGATTAGAGACCCCGACCTTTCTTGATGAATCAGTTGCCGAAACTGAGAGCATGAGGAGCAGCCGCCCAAAACCAGCGAAGTCCGTCCAAACTTTGGGCGACCTCCGTCCCTTCGGTTCCCAGTTCGTTTCCGAACTCCGAAGCGAGGCAACCTTCAAGAAGTTCGACGTGGACAGTCGGGACCGCGGAAGCGAGCGCTCGCTCTCTCTCCGATCTCCGCACCGCTCGATCCGCCGGTCCGGTCGACGCGCGAAGACGTCTTCGGGCGAAGACGGCCGCTCCGAAACCGCGCTGAGGTTCGGGGTACATCACGGTGGATAACCTTCGAGATGTGCCACACCCGAGTCCGACGTGAATCCGCGTGATGCACGTTGACATGATGTGCATGGGATAAATAAATTTTAAAAAAAAAAAACTATTATTTGGATTGTTTTTTGCTAAATGTGTTTTTTGAGGCTGTTGCCATTGGCTGCGCTGGGTGTATATTAATTAATATAAGGCCTAGTAACTAGTAACCATGAATACAGTAGTCAATCGTCAGCAAAACAGGCTACAACGGCAGTACTTTCCTGCGGGGTGTTGTCAAGATGTTGGCCGAAAACGGAAGCCAGAAGTCTCCGGGCAGGTGTTGGGAGATACTTTCGAAGGGGAGCAAGTGGAGAAGCTTCTTGCAGAGGCTGACCTCTTGAAGGACCCTCATGCATCGTGAGATTTGGCGGGTCGAACCAGTCAACTTTGAGCTGGGCTGGACTCGACATCATTTTCATGTATCCATTCGACTAGACCTTTTGGGATTGAACATTATTGAACCATTCTTGTAAGGATTCAGTCTAAAAGTGTAAATAGGCCAATGATTAGTCCTGCCAGGTTGCATCAGGTTGCATGTTTTTCCACTTCTTGGTTTGCACTCTTGAGGACAATCGGATCAGTTTCGATGAGTTCAAGCAGTTTGTTCGCTCGAAGCTTTGATCCGTGAGAATCCTCGAAACTTTTGCGGATCCGGCGGCAACACCGAGGCGGAGACAAGATGGACATGGCAACCAAGGCAGTTCTGCGCACGAGATACTTGAGTCAAAGAACGACAGGCTTTCCGAAATGGATAGAAGGTCAATGGATAGGTCAACAAGACTCCACATTCATCTAAATTTAAATTATCATATATGTCTCTTCCGCAGCATCTTGGACTATCCTAAGTTTTGAGAAACAAACTCCGACACTGAAAAACCACTATAGTTATCGACAAATCCGTCGACATTTGCCCCGTGCCCCGTGCCCCGTGCCAGGTCATTGACCAAGAGATCCAATATATCCATCAGCGGGAACGACAGCGGAGTAAAGAGAGCACTGCTGGCGGCAGCGAGATCTTCAAAGGCTAGACTTGGTTGGTGCTTCACAATACTTTCACATGTTCATGGCTGAGAGAGTGTGAAGCAGCATGCTTTTCAGGAAACTCGGGCATCATCAAAGGCACGCCCAGCCATGTTTGTTCATCATGTTTGTCCTGGATCACAAAATACACGGGGGGTACCGGAAACCGCGTACCAGCCCCCAAAAACGCACCGCAGTTAATTAATGTTAATTACGTACTGTGTTTGCACCACCCACCCAAGCTTGTCAGGAAATTCGGCCCTGAACGTGATGCCCAAGCACGCTGCGGCCGTGGTGATGCCACCTGAAAAGCCCCCGATCAAAAAGGATGAGGTGACCATGACTCAGTCCACCGTCGCCACCGGAGATCCTGCAGGAGAGGGTGACGGTGACACGTGACACGTGATGCGGAAAGAAGGCATTCACCGCGGGTTATATTGGACCACCCTCACTCACACGCGCTGGACCTATATTTGGCCATTCAATGAATCCGTCCTATAATGTTTGTTTTTCTCCATCGCACAAATATGCATCAAATACGCTTTTTCCGGCGTCAAGTTTATAGACATGCGACCCGACGCTCGAAAACGGCGTTCACGAGGAGCTCAACAATCGAATCCAGTTGCCCGGCACATCTCTGATTCCATCGTGAAGCAGGAGTTGTCCGAGCCTCAGGACGTCCAGCTTTAGACGGTCATGACAGACCCTTGGACCATGACGGATTAAGATACAGCACCTAGTAGCGTCCTTGTTCCTAGTAGCTTCTTGCACCTAGTAATAAGGCCAGGAGCCCTAGTAGCGTCCTTGCTCCTAGTAGCGATGCCAGGAGTTTGTAGTAGAGTCCTTGCTCGTCACAGTATATACATTGAAGCAGAGCGTCGTCGACATCGTGTGGGCAAGAACTTCGGGACGGGATATGACGGGATCTTCACTCTTTTGATTTGCATCTCAGTTTGACTATCACCTCGTACAATGGAGGTTTGATTCCCAAACAAACTCTTTGGAGCTTTGCTGCAGCTCCTACCCCAGCGCATGGTCCCTCACAGCACCCCACTTTGGATTTCCAACTTAGCGGCCTCCTTTTCCTGTTCTCTAGCACAACATTGAAAAAGTACATCGCCAAACATGAATGGCCCAACGCACGAGCTATAGACATCGCCAAATCGCATGACATGACAATGACAGCCATAGACGTTCACATGCTGCCAGAGATCACTTCCAGACAACAAACGATCAGCGAAATGCAAGCGACAGAACGCCATGAGGCCAACAATAGACTTAGTAGCAGACAGGCACCATCAACCCACTACTAGCGGTGGCCTCCAACCTGATAGCGATGGCCTCCAACCTACCAGCGATGGCCTCCAACCTGCTGCACCATCACGGACCTATGCATGACATTCCAGTACGAGACAGTAAATAAATCCAGTAGCAACTCGCACCACCAGCAGGGAAAAGTGGTATGATCCTGGAAGACTCTTTTTGACCGGCTCGGGCTCGAGGTGCTGCGTTGTCTCGTGACGGCAAAGACCTCAGGGTGGAAATGTCGACGTGGGGGTCCTGCAGTTCAAGGAAGACATGGTGGTATTGGCATTTGGCAATATTTGGCATGTCAAGAGAGTGAGTTCTGTGGTAGACTCCACCATGAATAATTACAACATTATACATAAGATTGATTACAGAAGATGAGAGCTACAGGCGGAGGAGGGATCCCCTTGGTCGAGAAAGACATGTCGAGTCGAGTCTGACGTGTTGAAGGCCTTTCGGCTGTAGTGCAGTTGCTGGCGAACACGGAGACATACTTGGATTTGCAGCTAAAGATTCGTCAGCCCCAAAAGCTTGCCTGGTTCAAAACGAGATCAAGAATCGCCAATTGAAGTGGGACATTTAAACACCTTCAGAAGCAAAAAGCATCCATTTTCAGGCCAGGAAGTACCAAGAAGCAGAGGGCGTGTGTCATTGTTCCCCATGATCTTCGCAACGCGACTCCGCGTCGCGGGACGTGACCGGATGGATGGATCCGAGCGCCCTGCGAGAACTGGGCCTGCAAACCTCCCTGGGCCACTCGGTAGATCGCCCGACTCGCGACGAAGGCGACGACGGGCGACGGCGACTTGCAAGGATTTCAAAAGGACGAGAGTACGGTGGTTGTTCCTTTTTCAATGTACAGTACGAGGATCTACTAGGGATATTTGATATTTTACACAGCTAAAAGATAGGACACCGTGGACGTGGTTCTCGTCGAAGCTTCGCATCCTCAGTGATTCTCCACCAGCCGTTCACGCCAAGTGTTTTCAGGTCCCTCGGCATTTTGTAAGAGATATGAATACTTATAATAGATAGAATACGGATACTTGTAGAGTCTTGTAGAGTAGAGGCCAAGGCCTAAAAGACCTCGAAGCAAGCTGTCAGAAGTGGTTTACCCAAGATTGTTTGATTCACCAGCTCAGATGATCCTCCCCTGCTGCTGCGCAAAAGCGTGCACAAGCCAAAGCTGCCACTTGGACCACATTTTGGTTTTGCAATCCAGAAGATTTGCAGTTTGTTCGCAGTTCACATGTCAAATCCAGTCCGAACTCTAAAGGATCTGAAGGGGTCTTCTTCCCAAGCCCGAGGTTCGACGTCCCTCTGGAATTTGAGTCTGAGATACGCGCTTCGAATCACCTCCCGGAACTGCGCATTTGCACCTGGAATGCGCCCCGCTGTCGGTCGATGTTGAAAGCTGTTTGAGACCGGTCACAACGGGGTGGTATTCAGTCCCTGAGTGAGTGGATAATGAGCACCCCTATCCTCCAATAGGCACCCCTTTGGCCCCTTTGTGCTTCCTGGAATATATTTCAACTTATATATCCACGTGTTCAGGATGATGGAAAGCCGCAAAGCCGAAGCTGGCCCTTCTCTGCCTGAAAGCTGAAACCATGTGTCGGTCTTTCCCGGTTTTGCTCACTGTCTTTGCCCTTGCTCGGCGAAGGTGCTGGCCCCGAGCTATGCCTTACAGAAGTCCTTTCCAGATGTGAAGCCCGAGTCTAGGCAGATGTGAAACATTGTGAAAGAAGAAGAATCGCTATGGAAGATATCCTGACAATTGACATGACCTAGCACGAATTGACCAGGGTTAGTTTTTTTGGGCTGTTTTCAGGCAGGTGTTCTTTCGATTTCCTTTCGGACGTTTCTCCCCACACTTTTGTTGTCCTTGACTCAATCTGAGGAGTACTTGAAGATCTCACACCGACGAAAGCTGTTGTGACTTGGGCTTCAAGATATTGTGTGTGGTTCTAGGCCGCCAATGAGCAAAGTTGTTCAAGGAGATTAAAAGAATGGCCGAAAGCCGGCCATTTCGAGAATGAACATGATTGAGTGCTGTTTTTGCGCAGCACTGCAAGGTGCACTGATGTCATAGGGGCCAAAAAGACCATAGACAGACTATGGGGGTCGCCCCGTCTGGCGTGCTGTCGAGAATACGACCGCTGAACGGAAACGTGGTCGCCCAGGTATGAGGTGATTTCACTCCTCAACGCAGATGCCATTTGCCTTCAGGATGCTTTAAATGTTTATTGGTTGTTGTACTTGTCCAATCATGCAGTTTTCTGACATCCACACATTGAACATCATTGAACCAAGAGCTGATTCAGACCAAAACCCATGGGTTTAAAGCAAGCTTGAAGTACACGCATGGTTTGGGTCTGTCCTCTTACCTGTAACAGTCAAAAAAACTTGTCATCACTATGTTTGAACAAGGCCTTTACAAACCATCATCATCCACTGGGCTGGTAGTAGGATAGACCCAAAACATCCCAACATATGGTAAAACAAACTGTTGGATATCTTCTGAACGGATTTTTTTGCCACACCAGGAGATCGAGGGCTTGGAGGAGTGGCAAGCTCACTTGGTAGGCAGGACGTTTTTTGATCCTTACATATGTATCCATACTAGTTTTAGATAGCTTTGGGTATTAAGTCCAGTTTCTGCGCATGATTTTGGGGGGAACACCACTTGACCGGTGGGGCCTTGCTCCAGGCCTCGGATATGCCACGGCCTTCGCCCAGCGGCCCGGCCGTGCCGATGGTTGCTTGATCGGGTGGCTCCGTTCACGGCTCAGGCGGCGGGTGGAGCGGACCGAATGCCCGGGCGGACTCGACACAGGAAAAAGCAGTAGCTTTATTGTTACTAGTAGTAAGGCCAGGAGCCCTAGTAGCTTCTTGTTACTACTAGTAAGGCACTTGTTACTAGTAGCGATGCACTTGTTACTAGAAGCGATGCACTTGTTACTAGTAGCTTTATTGTTACTAGTAGTAAGGCCAGGAGCCCCTAGTGGCATCCTTGCTCCTAGTAGCGACGCCCTTTGCTCCTAAGAAAAAAGCAGAAAGCAAAGACTGAGATGTCGTCAGAAGTCGTGATCTTGACCTTGAACTTTCTCCCATCCTGAGGCATAAACATGCAAGTGGAACGACTTGTACATCCTTTTTGTTGAGGATCTTTCTTCGTGTTTGTTCAACTTATTGGCTGCACCAGGTGTGTTGACACGCTGTCTTTGAGTTTTGATGATTGCTTGGCGATGCAGCAGTTGCCACTTAGTGTGCCGCTTGTCATAAGATTGTCCCAATGAAGCTCAAGCTTTTTGGTTAGTTCTGAGGAAGGGTGTGTTTGGAGGTCGTAGTAAGTCCATTCTAGTTTTACTTCGCTCGGACTGAGGCATTCGCGGTTTGCCCGGAAGAATGTCGCAGCTTGGTTTCTCATCCGGCGCCGGAGCGTCTCAGAGGCTGGCTCGTCGAGCTACATGACATGTCGAGAGATCCAAGGCACTGGTGGTGGAGCTCGCAAATCAGCAGCAAGAGTTGCAGCAAAGCGCCAAGCGTTTTCTTTTAATGAAGGGTTGCTAATATATGCTAGTTACAGCTTGTTACAGCATAAGATGTATTGAGAGGTAGGTATGCTAGTTGCATAAGTCTCAGGCGAGGTTTTATCATGATGATGGGTCTTGAAATCCAAGGGGCTGATCAGCAGGAGCTGGCACTTGTGAGCTGAGGACTTGGAAGGAAGACGCTTCCTGCTTGCGACCACCCACCTCTACTGGGGAAGCGAACATGAAGATGTCAGATCATGGCAGCCAATCGGTGGAACAGATGAACTTTGCATGCAGGAACATTCAAAGAATTCTGTACAGATCTATATACTTTATCGATAGCAGCACAAGACTTATCTTCCTGCAACTATCAATATCTTGCTTTCCTGCTTCGATTGACTCTTGCCCAGGTTGCAAGTCTTGCTGGAGCATGCAGCTACTCGCTTTGGATGCCAGAAGCCCTTGGCGCTGTGTTCCTGGGCTGTGTGCCTCTTGCTTCTGTGCGTTTGTGCTATCTTTAAAAGGAAACACAAATACTACACTCACAGGGGATGTTCACAAGAATAGACGAGAGCAAGTATCCAGTCAAATAAGTCACATTTGATTCCGTAGATGTTTGATGATGATTTATGGTATAACAATTTGTATTGTTGCTTTCTTCGGCCGATATGCTTTCAGGTGGTGATCTCAACATGCTTTCTTCTGGCGACGCTTACAAATTTTTGAGGCATGGCTCGTTGGAGGTCCCGCGGAAGTTCCGCAATGTGGTTTGGCTTAATGAGCCCGGCCGCTAATAACTTTACAAACTAGCGGCAGCACAAAAATTAACAAGCACGGTCTTCATGGTTTTATGTCTTGGAACCCAACTATCGCAATATTAATATTAATTATGTACACAAATATTACAATTATCCTTTCTCACAAGCCTTGGTCGCTTTCCATGCCTTGGTCGCTGTTGTGGTTTGAATCTCTAATTGCCTTGGACACGAGCGAAGTGTAAATGTTCGAAGCTCATGATGATGGCTTATCGCATTCAGTCTCGACACTCATGTTCGTCTGATGTTCTATGGCGACCAGTGTTTGCCACAACCAAGTTCCCTCCAGGTGTTGGTTCCCACAAAAAACAGTCTTTAGATGTCTTTAGCGAGTTTAATCTGATGGCGGATTTTATCAAAGTGTTTTGATCTCCGGATCCTTGGATTCTTTTCGATTCAGTTCATAGCTTGGTACCCTTCCTTTTTGGCGATCGAACCCACTCCGGCGGCCGAGCCCGAGGTGGAACGCTTCTTGGTGGATCGGGACATTTCCAAGGCTGCCAAGCCTTTGCGATTGCTCGGTGTCTTGACTGTGCGACTGTGCAGTTGGTCGTTTACAGATCTTCTTTCGGTTTGGAGTGATTGGATATCCTATTGCACCGCTGCTGTCATTTCTTGTAAGAGATTTGAGAATTTTTGGAATACCCATCAGTTATTTTTAATCTCCAAGGCTCAAGGTGTTCTAAGGCTCAATCAAGCGCGTGGGGTCTCCCATGCGGACCGACTGAAGTCTCTCCTGCATGTTCAGACTTGTTGGGTTGTGCTTCGAAATTGAACTCAGAACTAGAGAATCCTGCTGAGGCAAGTTACTTGATTGTTTTATGTGCAGAACTTGAAGGACTAGTTACATGAAGGGAACGCATGCACCAATTATGTATATGGGTCTTCAATTCTTAGGTCAGCTGGGATCGAAGCTGAAAGTTGTGATTATGTTGTACATACACCAACTCTTCATGATCTACGTGCCATTATGTACCCTATTCCGCCACCGACATGCACCATCCGCTACTAATGCTACATCTGAGGTGTTTGATCACATGGGTTTTCATGCTTTTGTCTTAAAGTCATTGTTGTTCTCTGCACTTTCTGAGCTGGTTCGGATACTACCACTTTCTGGAAGGATATATTGATAACATGCTATAACCCTGCAATTTTGGTGTTCCCCAACGTTCACATCTGAGCTCCTTCTTCCTTTTTTGTATTTTCCCAAGGCCTGGACGTCTCAGTTGAAAGCCCGGAGGAACGTGAAGAACGACCAGAGGCAGCCCTTGGTTTGCGGATCGCGGCTCGGCATTGGACAATCAATCGGCAGGGCCTCTCAGTACCGATTCTGTTGCAAAAGCTATAGTGGTGATACATCTATTTGCAGAGCCCCAAACAGCTCAATGATCTCAGCTTTGCTCACACGTTGCCACTTAGTTGCGTTTGCATATGATGTTGTCCTTGGGCCAAGGAAGATGACATGGAATATTCTGAGGGTATACTCCAAGAACAGGGCGGTGTTTTTTCTTGCATTCCAACAAAAACGATCAGCCGTGTGTGGCACTGGCGTTTTTGTAGAAACAGAAATTCATGACAATATTGAAACACATCTAATGCTTACAGTAGCTATTCTAGACTATAGTTAGGCTTTGTCCTATTACCTGTAACAGTCAGTAAACAATTATCACCATTTTTGAACCAAGCCTTTACTAACTATCATCATCCACTGGGCCCTGGTAATAGGATAGACCCAATCTATAGTAGCTATTCTAAATGCAGTAGCTCTTCTAATGGTCCCACCGAAAAATAGAAATCCTGCTCGGTCCCGGTGGCCGGCCACTGATCTACAGGCCCGCGTCCCGGTGGTCACTCGTGCTGCCCGCGAAGCGCGAGTCTTGGTGTCGGCCTCCAAGAGGCAAGTGGTGTGCGCACCGTGGGTGGTGACCGCAGTGGTGAAGCTGATGTTGTTTTTTGGTTCATACATGTTCATACCGTCATGTTTGATTGAGAAATGAAGAAGAAGAAGAAGTTGAAGAATAAGTTGAAGAATAATGTGCCTGATATGTAATTATCAACATCATCCGAGTTGTTCAAAAGCAATGTTTCAAGTACGACGATGCAGTTCAGCCTAAAACCAAGCGCGCCAAAAGTAGCGCCATTCGACCTTAAGTCGAGTAGGGACAACTCCTGACAGACTTTTCCCACTCGGTAGACAATTTCAGTGGGTTGCGGGGCATGCTGTAGTATTACAGTGGTTTCAGAGTAGATGGCACTGGCACCCCAAGATGTCTTAGACAGATGAGGGTCCATCTAAACCACCGAACTTGGGGTAACTTGTGCCATCGAACCTCTGAAACATTCTGAAACCACTCTGAAACCGGTGAACATGTAGGCGGAACATCTCCCAGCAGACGGTTTTCCTTTAAGCCCAGCGGTCTAAAGTGGAGGGTCCTGGAGCTGTGGGGTCAGTCCCGAATTGTGCCGAATTGGCATTTGAGTCGTGTCGTTTCCAAGTTTCCAGGAACGTCGTTAGAAACTCGGATTCTAGGATATGTTCAACTCTTCAGTCCTTTCTCCCCGAATGTATATGCGCATGTCTACCCCTATGTCGAAGCCTGACAAGTTCTTGACCGCAATTGATCCTTTGCAAAGCTGTATGTTTCAGGTACCGGCAAGCAAACATTTGAGCCCATACCCGGTCGATCCCGGTCGCGCCAATCATCTACTCGCTTGGTCAGGCTAGTGAATCGTGCCGATGCCGCCTTGGCGTACTTTATTGATGCCAGAGAGTTTGAACTGTCCCTTGCGAAGCTTTGCATTGATGCTTGGTTGGGGAAACAAGTGGATCAGTGTTAAGGCACTTGCAAGGTTGGATTGATGCATATGCTTCTCCAAGCAATATAGATGTTCAAAGTAGATATAGGCCTACCTAGGGGATTCACTTTGTCAGGAAGCTGAGCTGTTATTTTGCCATCCACCATCATCCACCATCCCAGCAGCTTCCTGGCTGTGTCCCAGGATCTGGCTGTCGACCTGGGCCCAGAGCGCTTCTTCACTCGCTGTGTGAAGTGCAATGGCCACCGAGCGGCGTCAAGTGTGTGGCGGCGTGGGGTCCATATGGGCGAGTGGAGGAACCGATTCGGCGAGAGAGACGGGGTTTTCCGGTCAGAAACACCACGGTCTGGTGGCGAAACAGATGATTCCGGAACGGTGGGTTCCTTTATATCATGTATCAGTGAAACACCTGGTGCTCAGAAACTGCCCAGGCCTGGTGCTCCCCTTGGCGAGTAACGAGAAGGAGCTGTGTCCTTCCAGCTGTTGTGGACGACGGTGTTGGACGATGTCCTTGTTGACCCAGGAGCAAGATCGCGCAACGGCCTTCGGAGCACCGGCGAATGGAATTCCTCTCTTCACTTGTGCCTTCGCAGATCAAGTTTAACGGACACGTTTCAGAGACTTCTCACGAAACAAGTTTTGCCTTTTGAATGGTAGATGCAGAGAGGCAGCTCACCAGCCATGTTCTATATATACCGTTAATTACTTTGTTCTACAATTATCAAGGCGCAAAGCTCTTTGTGGGTGCGAAAAACCGTTGGTTCGTGGATGTCAAATGGAAACCGTTGTTTTGATATGTTTTTCGCAGAAATTGCCTAGCCACAGGTACTCTTTGTGGGCAGATTTACTGGTTCTCCCATGACCTGGGTAGTGCATCTGCACGAGCTCGGCTGCAGGCTGGACGTTAACTGTTGTTGGCCCAAGTCTGGAAGAAGAAAAGTGTTTGAATTTGTTGAAGTGCCTGGAATGGAGGTCTGGGGTGATGAGAAAACATGAGGAACACAGGACAGAATGCTTTTCTCTTTCTTTCTACTTCAAACGGACCAAAGCTCCATCTCCATTGATCTTCGGACCCCCACAGAGGTGGAGAATCTGGTGAACCTCGTCGAAGAGTTGAAGCGGGCGACGCCCAGCGACGCCGCCGAACTCGGCGAAGGCGACCGGCGCCGGTGTGACGCCTCGGGGGGGAGTCGTTGAGGTTCAGACTGACACTCCATTGCAATGCCCACACCGAAAGCGTCATGAAGCACAGTCAGAAATACTGTTGGGCAATCGATTAAGCATCCATGCCAGTCATGAAGTTAGTCATACATACTGCCAGTAAATGAATACTGCAGCATCATGAAGCATCACACCGTCGCTGGCACCGGCGTCACACGACGCTGTCGCATCCGCTGTCGCGCGTTCCGCCGAAGTCGACGCTGCGCGTCGCGAGGTGTGCCAACTGAATCTCGCCCCGACAAGGAGCCGCACCGACTGGAGACGGGGGGGTGGGATGAGGGTGGGATGAGACCGAAGACGGTTTTGAGAAGTAAGTTGGTAAATTCAATGAAGCTGCAGAGAATGAGTTGGATGTCGAGTGTGCGTCCTTCGCGAGCGATGCGGGTGTGAAACCCTCCTTTTCGCCTCCTCGAGCGATGCGGTTTCGGTGCGACGTTCGTGTCGTGAGGCCGAGGCCTTCTCCTCTGCGCGGTTCCTGCGTGATGGCGGTGGGCGCTCCTTGGCGAGGGATCCACACGGAGAGCAGGTTCCGGGCAGGGAGTAGTTGTTGGGACGGGCTATGACTGGCACACAGCAGTATAAGTCGGGCTGCATTCCAGACCTTTGGTCATCAACACGAATATATATATATTAATATATGTTTGTAAGAACCTGTTTCCGTTCACTTTGCAGGTTTGATGATTATGTTGGAGGTCCATGAGAGGCTTCATGAGGCTTCTCACTTCTCACTTGGTTTTGATCGCCAGAATAACTCTCCCTGGACCTAACATGGAAGTGCAAGAAAAAGAACATGTTTGTAGAGGAAACTGATCTTCCAAGGGATCATGCCATCCAATTCCATGTTAGTTCCAGCTGAGTGTGTTCACGGCTCTTCAGCCGCGGCAAATCCACCCGTCTCCGGCTGAAGCCGAGGTCTTGAACATCCCTGGAGCCTTCGCTCTGCCTTTGAAGACGCTGAGCTGTTGGACGCCATCCGAGCCGCTTAGGTCCCGTACTGTCCCAATAGCACGGACCATATTGCTTGAAGCTGTTGAAGTACGCACTGATTGCCAACATTTGTTTTGTTGGGTGAGGTGATGTTTTTTTCAGATATTGAAAGAAACGAGTAACGAGTCTTTCCTTTGTTTCATCCTCTTTGGGACGCTCAGATTGGAAGAACCTGGACATGTCCTGATTCTCTTTGAGATGCAAACTGACGATTATCTTTAGGATGCAGTCACTCGCAGGTCCGATTTGAGGGCTTGGAAGTGGAAAAATGGCAACGTGAACGTCCCCATCGTTCCAACCATACTTCCAGTTACTCTCGACGTTTGCGCACGATCACACCCATCCACTCACTCACTACTAGCTTCTTGTTACTACTAGTAAGGCACCTGTTACTAGTAGCGTGGCACCTGTTACTACTAGCTTCTTGTTACTACCAGTAAATATGTGGCCCACATTCACACATTCCTTTGCATTCACTCTAGCAGAAAGGGGTGCAGAAGAAGCAAAAACTCTAGCAGAAACTCCCAGCGGCAGATTTTGGCCAAACATGATGACCTGGGGTGACCGGTTTCACTGGGTGACATCGACAAGGTCGAGAGAAGACCTTTCACACAACGATCCATATATTTCCGAGCGCATCAATCCATGCTCATCCAAACGTTTCACGATTGCTTCTCATTGAGCTAGTCAACTAACTCTGTTTGATGCTTCTACTTCTGAGATTCTACAAAGTGCTGAAGGTCTTCAAAAGGGCGATTCCACACACCTTGTTGGTGTGTAATGTAGTGCATTTGGCATTGGTGTGAAAGATGAAGTATCCTGGGACTGAAAAAAAGTCTCTGCCCCACTAGCCCTAGCCTTTTGCACGCCTTGGGCTGGAGTCACTTTCTTTTGATACCATTGAAAGCCCAGGATGTAGAAGAAGATGGTGCTGTCAGCAATTCAAAGTATGGTTGCTTGGCATGGGAAACCATTTTGACTCTACTAGTATACTAGTAACAAGAAGCTACGAACGGGGCTCCTGGCATCGCAACGAACGGAGCGATCGGACGCTACGAACGGAGCTCCTGGCCGTACTAGGAGCAGAATTTTGACTCATTTTGTTGCTTTCCAAAGTCCGCGCCACGGCTTGCCACCCGCGAGTGAGCCGGAACAAACACGTTGGAACCTGATTTGGCACGTGGCCGGTCGACGGAGATCGCGATCGATCCATGTGCCTCTCGGGGGGGACGACTCCAGTCCACGTCCTTGGATCAAACCTACGCATTCTCATCGACAATAGATTCAACATGATTGAACCCTCTCAGGAAGACCCTTCAGTTCCCTTTGTGGGTATTCACCCAGCGAGTTGCCCAAAACCAGCCAATTGCTTGCCAGAATATGTTGAAGCATCTCAGAGGTGTTTTCTGCTACCGTCGCACCAACCGAGGTTTTCATGGCTGCATCGACTACATTTGGTTGAGTCACTTGGATCCCCGAGACCCGAGACGCAAGACACGAGACGTTTCGGTCGATGACAAGCCAACCACCGCAAGAGCTGCGTCGTAGAGTCGTCATACATTCGATTAGCGGAACTCGGAGAGACTTTGCACCATGTCCGCTTTGCCAGAAAATGACCAAGAATCTGGTAGCAAATCCATGCCTATCACTTTCTACCGGGGCCTACTGGTTTTACCTTGTTTTACCGTGTTTTACCCGGGCGAAATCGCTGCGTCCCGACGCGAGCTTTCAGGTCCAGAATTCCGTCCTTCACGACGGCTTCGACTGCCAAAGGTGGCAGACTTCGAGAAGGACTGCGATAGCCATGCGTAGTAGCATAGATCGATGAACATGGGAGCTTTCATAGGTCGTACAATGTCGTATACATGTCGACAGAGGCATTTTGGGGGGAGCTTTTTGATGCTTTTTGGGGGGCGACCACAATGAGCCGTAACTTTTGTCACATTGTTAGCTTGTTCTGTTTCTTCTTTGACCTTTGACCGTGTCTTGCTTTTGCATGCTTTTGCTGAACTAGCCAAGCTTCACTATTGGATAAACTGTTGGCATATGGCACAGCTTGAGGAGCCAGGGAAGCCGTTGCCATCTATGGTCTCTTCTACTTGGCCTTCAGATCACTGGCCTCTCGCCGTGGATCTCGTTCTCTCGTGAGAGGAACTCCAGGAGCGATGCAACACGAGCAGCTCGACGAGCGCGAGTCGATCGAGCGGCTCGCGGCGGCGGCGTCTCGCTGAACCGCGCAGAACTACGCGCCACGTCTGCGGCGGCTGAAACGCGCTTTTCCGCCACCGCAGAGCTGCGAAACTCCACCGAGATGGGATGAAGTCGCAAGGAGCACAGTTCTCAGCCGAGAACTCTTCAGTCGGGCAGAGAATACCGTGACATACCGTGACATGCAGATGCCGCTGTGACTGATGCGTGAGGTTTCTTTTTGATGATCTACGCATGGTGAGACACTTTTGGTGAAGATGTCAGGCTGTGTTTTCACCTCAGGCGAGACTCCAAAAAGAGACCGTAAAACCAAGTGCGCTGAGGCATTGTTGTGGCACGAGTGGCATGAGTGGCATGTACACTGCAGGATATGCACCATCAAGTGTACACTGAAGGAATTAGGTTGGGTTCGTCACAACTTGAATCAACTTGATATCTCTTCCTTGCAATTGCCTTATCTCTTTGTGTCCAATAGAGCCGTGTGTTTGGCTCTAAGGCCAAGACTGCCAAAACCCATACGCTAAGACGCTAGGCAAAGCGCCTCTCTGGTCCCGCTTGCTTTCGAAAAAAAAAGACACCTCTTAGGGCCTCTTAAGGCCTTTGGATGTCTTTAACGTCGTTGTCCAAAATCGTTTTCTTTGACCGAGATGAAGCCGGTTTCTCCGAATCTTGCTAGGTTTGTCAATCTCTACTGCTTTGCCTTGTCGGTGGGGCGACCTAGGGCATTGACAGCTTGCTGAGCCTAAGCACTGAATGAAACAAGAACCACAGAAGGACATGAGAGAACAGCAGATATACAGCCTTATAGATGCCCTGGTTGCACTGGCTCTTTTTCGGGAATGCGCGGGTTCTTTTTCGATCAAGAGTGGGTTCCGAAAGAAGTGGCCGGATGGGTAGGATGGGTACTGATCATTGTTTTTGCCAGGCGATCTTCCTCTCACTTGCCTTGCTGCTGTGGATGTGCCACTGACCATCTCAGAAAAGGCTTCGGCCATCATCTGAGGGTATAGTCCCGCGGCGGCAAAGTGGAGCAACCATGTGAATCGATCCAAGATGCATCAAGGTGTGTGTAGCTCTGAACACTTTGCAGAAGTCCTTTGCTGAAAGGGGGTGTGTATCCCCGAAAGCGCAGGACGGCCGCACTTGGGGCGGTTTTTTTACCTCTAGCACTGCTGCCATTAGGAAGCTTCCCTACATGTCATGTGAGTAAGTTGCTTCTCAGATGTGGATGCATGCGAATACTAAAGGTTGGTTTTACACCAAGTTGAAGGCAAACAGAAGTGAAGACCTGTCTGGGGAACTAATAATGGCTAGCACGAATGCCGATTGCTGCGAATGCTGGCAACGGCCCTTTGATAGTGGTTTTCAAAAGGCTCTGGCACTGCCTCTGCATCCGTGTTGGAAGCAAGCTCGGATGTACTATGATGGTGGTGGGGCTGCGGGAGGCTATGGGTCTTCACATCAATGTTCAACAAATGCGGAAGGCAAATCCTGCTACTTGTTACCTGATGTTACCTGGCCATTCCCGAAATAGACAGAGTCAGCCACTTTGCAGACCAATCAATGAAACCTAACCCTGTTTACAAAAATATAGGATTACTGTTGCAATGTGTCATCCAATGATGTTACACTAATATTAACAAATAATATGACCAATTCATCACGCATAGAATACCATTCTATGGTTCGTTAAATAAATCGATCCATTTTATGTTTTAAGAGAGTTGTTCATGAAGGATCTAAATGATGGATCACACACCAAAACCCACACACGATCCATACCTCGATCCATGGGGTATGGATCAAAAGGTGGGTGTGTGATCCAAGCCCTTGGATCACAGGTGTGGTTTTCCCGGAGGTGGTCCATGGAGCAAAAAAACGAAAGCAGAAGTAGGAGGAGAAGAAGAAGAAGAGCAAGCAGGAAAAATACAAAACAGAAAGAAGACAGGAAGAAGGAGGACAAAGCAAAGAAGCAGAAGAAGGAAAGGAGAAGGAGGAGAAGAAAAAGAAACAGAAAACAAGACAGACCAAGAACAAGATGAAAGAATAAAGCAAGAAGAAGAAGTAATAGATAAGAATAGTTTCTTCGACTCTTGTTAAATAAACCTTTGGTGGTTTATAGGATAGGGATGTATAGGGGCACCTACTGTTTTACCGTTCAATTTAGCGGCTAAATATATTCGAGGTGCTTTTTTTGGAGCTTTCGTTTTTGGAGCTTATGACGTTTTTGGATTAGATTTTTATATTGTTGATGTATTTTATATATCTGTTTGGTATGATAAAGGCGAACAAAAATATGTATATATTTATGTATTATGTTAGGATTTATTTGGGGATTGTATTTGAAATTAAATGAATCATTTATATGATATATAATATTAGGATGAATATTTTGATTTATAGGGTTTATATTATTTTCGTTGCAATATGGAATGATATATATTAGGATTTCTGACCGTATTTATTTATATATTTATTTTATTATGTAAATATAAATATATATAATTTTTTATATATATAATTAAATATTATTTATATAAGGATATAATAAAGGTTAAATTCCAGGATAATTTTTTAATGAATATAAAAGATCTTTACGATTTAAATAAACTTAATATATAGAAATATATTAAAAAGGTATTGGATTACTTGACTTGCAATATCTTTGAAGATGCAAATAGGAGGAATAAGGAACTATAGGATCGAAACCAATAAAATCTCGCGATCGTGCATTACGTCTACGCTATAAAAATGCCGCAATTGGGAAAATACATTAAGATGTGGTCGCATCGGAAAAAAAAAATAATCTATTTTAATATTAAATTACATAATTGATATAATCGAACAAAAATTAAAAATTATCGGATACATAGACCTTATTAAAGATATATATAAATATTTAAAAATATAATATTAATATTAATCTATTTATTATTCTATTTTAATATTGAATTATATTAATAATAGATATATATTTATATCTATCCTGGAATACACAGAACATTATTTATGTTTTTTTAATTTCACGGTTGTAAAAAAATAATATTTAGAATATATGGGTCCAAAAAGGGCATTTAGAATGTTGTTGTTTCTATTTGTTCGTGGACAATTGAGGAAAGACATGGACAAGAAAAGGAAAAACAGGAAAAGAAAAGGATAATTGAGGGGAATTATATTCTATGCTTCCAACATTTGGTTGATTTGAAAGCTCGAAATTAATGTTTTTATATTTTATGTATCCATTTGGATTTTCAAAAAAAATCATTAACAAAAATGATCGGAATCTTCAATTCTATATTCTATATATAACAGGATGATTATAAATATATATATATTAAATATAGTTAAAAATAACAAAATAATTTACCCAAATCATTAAATATATAATATAATGTTCAATTATATATTTCAATCTACTGTAAATCTTTTTAATTCTATTTAATATTAACTAATTAGGGTCGGCCCGCTATTTCTAACAATGGAACAATACGATCCTCAAAACCAAAACCGATAGATCAATAAATGAACAAATTGAGAAACCGACAAACCACGGACCTTTTTTTCCTTCTTGGCCGTCAATAGGGAGCATGGGTCTGGCTTCCATTCAATCGTATCAATGATTTTCATGCAACAACAGAGCACATTCTCTGTGATCGGCCACGACAGTGGCACTCGCTGCCGCCCGGTTCTGTTGCAGATCTCATTGATCACTTTCTCCAAATTCCTTGTCACCTGCAGCAGCCTTTGTGGCGGATGGCGAGCAGGACACAGGTCAATGCCACAGATCGTAGAGCGTTGCGCCAGAATTGGTAGAAAGCGCGGACAGCCACCCTCTGCAGGTAGTCGAGGCACTGGCCGATCCTGTCCAGCAGCGCCTCCGTATTGAGGCCCTGATCCGGAAACAAGTACATGGGCTTTGTTGCAATTGCTCTTGACCATGTTTCAAATTTTCCGGGCTGATCCGTTGCCACGCAGCCCGAGCTCCTGAAAAGCCCAAAGCGTTGAAGGGACGCCAGCCGTTGGGATTGACCGTTTTCCAAGCCATGGATTATTCAGCGATGTTGAGGACCGATTCATCGATGCTCTGCAACACGGCCCGGGCGTCGGCTGATATCCCACCGTTGAGGTCTTTGCTCTGAAGGATTGAAATCATCGTCGTCACCATCAGGCTCGTGTGCAATGTCTGGCATCTCATCTGTTGGCTGAGATGCTCTGCATGCGGATTCCGAGGAACACCTGCCGTCTGTCCCCACTCTATGTCCGAATCGATCGTGGCCAGATATGCGACGGCACCAAACCGATGTTGTCCACGCCGATGTGTCATGTAGGCGGTCGCGCAGCAAGCGACAGATGCCACGGCCACCCGTAAGCACCGTATATGTACAAGCCAGTGTCAGCATAGAATTGCACAGTTCGACGGTCTCCCAGTGATGATTGTAAATCAAAAATCTGGAGGTCAAAATCAACAGCGCAATGGCAACATACCGCATGCGACGCGAGTGCGACCCACCAAGTTGCCTGCAGCCAGCCAAGGGCGGGCACGGCGGCAGGGGTGACAGGACGCCCAGACATCATTCCAAACCAGCACAAATCCATTCAGAATCCAGCCCAAATCCATCCAGAATTGCGCTAAGCTCGGTCCCTTGTTCGAGAGATCTGAGGCACCATGCCGATAACACATTCCTGAATATAATATACAAATATATCATATAAACTATAATACTTTAGCGTATATTTGATAAGTTATTGGATCATATGTTTTCAACTGGGCCCTCCTGCCAGGGCAAGGTAGCAATCTCCCTGGCCTTTACCTTCGCCTTCCAACCTGGTCGCAAAATTCATGGACAAATCCACGGTAAAAATCAGGAAGGCAAACATCAAACAATGCAAACGATCGGTAGAAAAAAATCCGATTTTCCAGACCATAAGAACCGAAAATGATTGCATTACTTTAGTAATTTTGGAAAACAAAATTGATATTGCGAATATTCACCGTGCCTAGCATTATTTCGGCTATTTATGATTTCAAGATTGTGACGCCCGGAAGCAACTGCGCCTCTGCCGGGCCACACGCAAGTGGCAAAATGGCTGCAGCAGCAGGATTGCTATGGTAAAGAATTGAAAATCGAGCTGATTAGGGCACCATCAAATTTGAGAAAACCCAATTCGTGCTTGCAAAGAAATTTCTTTCTTTTCATAGTGCTTCTGTGCAAGAAGCTGTCTCCAATTTTCACACAATATTGTGCGATGTCCATGATGCTTGCAAAAAGCACCGTATAATCTGATAATGCTAGTTTGCACGAAGTTGTCTCGCATTTGCCAATAATGCCACGACCTTCTTTTGAAGTTGCAAAAGGCAATTAAACAGAAGGTCATTCAGAATATGGAATAAATAATCGATGCAATTATAACAAGCCAAAATGAATAATGCACATATATATATATCAAAAGATAAAGGTCGAAAGTGGATCGATGCGGTGTTGTCGAATGGGTACGGGGTCTTTCGAATCGTCGGAAATCAATGCAACATCACCAAATAAACACAAAATCTTTCAAACCACCAAATATATTGAAACGTTGTCAATGTATTATTACCCCCCAATTATATTCTATCAAAATATCAAATATAATTATTGAATTTATGATGCATTCATGCGTAATTTTATTAAAAATAAAATATTGTAATAAGGCCTTATTCCCTTGCGCATGCGTCCGAACGTAGCAGCGGAAAGCGCTAGCGCACGCGTCCAAGAAATTCTCCATAAACACGTAGGAACGAAAGGAGAAATGAGGATCCAAAATTGATCAAAATTGGTCGCTACGAACAAACTCGAAATGAATCAAAATTGTCTCTAGTAGACCATGCGGCATTCGAATCTACGATTACGTAGCGGAACTAGAATAAAATCCTATAAAATACAAAATATTTAAATAATATCAAAAATCATCCATATATTAATTCATTAAAATATTATTTAGCATTAATTATATATTTTTCCTAATTAATTTTTTATATAATTTTAAAAAAATCCATAATCCTAAATAATATATTTATTTAAAATATCATCAATAATATAATATAATATAATTTAATTAATATATATCAATATTATTCTTTAAACAATCTATATAAATTTCCTTAAATATTTATAATTTACAAACATAATTAATTCATTTATATATTTTATAATCAATACCTAATAATAAAAAATTCAATAATTAATATCCTAAATATCAAATTTTATTTGAATAATAAACCATTTTAGAAAATCCTCAATTTGTTTATGGATATTGTATATTTTTTTATAAATTTCATTAAATCAACATATGAGCGATATCAAAAACCATCCGGAATTTTTATTAAGATTATAACAACCTTTCGTCAATCCCTTCGCAACGCTTTCGCGGCTGCATGTTTTGCTTTCGCCGGCCCACTTCACCCGACAACCTCTTTAGCTACAGTAACCCTTTCGCCGAGTTTCTGCTACTTACATCTAAGAAAAGTATCAGCATGTGTCAGCAAAGGGGAATCATTCCTAATCTGCAACCACTGCTTTCGCCACATCTTCGCGAACCTTTCGCCAACCTTTCGCCTGGTTATCATGAATCTTTGGATGACATGCTTTGTACTGAAAACCTCTTCGCTAACCCTTTCGCAACAAAATCCATTCATCAAAACATCAAAGCCTTTCTCCAAACCTTTCGCCAAGCTTTCCCCAACTGCAGTTTTCCTTTCGCACAGATTCATAATCTTAAGTCCTACCTAAATTCTTTCACAGAGGTTTATGACATTGCTTATATTAAATTTAAAGAATCAATATGTTGAATTGCCTTCCCTCATCATCCTTGCGTTTCTCCAGCCTCTCTTGCGCGCTTCCTCCCACAATCCTCCCCTTCTTCGCGAGATTTTGTGTTCTCTTTCGCTACTAGGCGTCCAAGCGCACCCCGTCAATTTCTTCCTTGCGGATCTCCTCAGTCACTCCAGGGACGTTCACTCTCTGCAAAGGATTGCGCAAAACGTAACCACAACGAACACTTTTGGGCCTGGCGAGAGTTTCTTGAATCACCGTTTGGGATGGGCTTGAAGCACTCCCTCGCTGCACAACTGCTGGCTGACAAGGTAGCTCGCTCCGTTTTACCGGGAGGAGGGTGACTGTAGGCTGCCATTGTGGCATGACTCCTGGCGGACTGCATATCCAATGCGCATCGTTGTTGTTTATGCCAGCCGGCGCAACTTGTTCATGGGCACCCGTCGCCGACGCAAGTACAGCCCCCAAAGTTTTGCGAACACCCAAGCCCAGTCGCTGCTGTCTGGATTGGTTGTTCGGCATAGTGCTAAGCAAGTGCTGTCACCAAGCCCTCACGCCAGCACTGCGTCGCACTCCTGGGGCCTTAACGAAGCCAGCGCAAACGATCACCATGGTAAAGGGGGACTGCCTGCAACCAAGATCAGTGAGAGCTGGCAAGAGGGATCTGCAGGGGCTCGTTCCAAGGTGATGAGCAAGCGCGCGCCAGCTCTGAGGATATGCAACAAGCTGAGAACTGTGCCAGAAAGGTTGTTCCAAAAGGATAGGATCAGAAGAAGACTTGCAAAACTAAAGGAACCGCCAACTTCTCAACACCCAATGGCACCATGCCAGCACAGGCACGAAGGCGGCGAAGCCGCCACCGGAAGCCGCAGAGCGACCCCAGGATGAGCCGAGCCGTGATATTACCCAGTCACGACGCCCGAAGTCAAACAACGACGTTCACTCTTCAAAGTACAGGGTGCACTTCTCAATATGTTTATTTGTTGTGAATAAATATGAGTCGTTGTCAAAAAAAACATGTGTTTAATACCCGCAAATACATGAAACATTAAAAAAACATCGACATTAATTGCATATATAGCATCATATATTTTTTCAGTGGAAGTCCACTTCAAGATCGTTCCTTCCTCTCTGGTTAGCAAGGAAGAGCGGCAGATGTCCATGATCTGGTGAAGGAGCCCGCTCCGTCAGTGGCACCACAAGTGGCTGCCGTGTAGCACCTTTCATCCAATTGACTTCTTATAGTTGCTCACACACACGCGTGCCAAAACAAGACATACACATCTAAACTCTGCACCTGTAGCCAGCATCCTTCCACACGCTCACATACTTGGTCCCAGCATCCTTCTCCAAGCACTTCCCCCATGCTGCTTGCACCCATGCCTGACTTGCGGAATGTCGCGAACACTCTCATCAACATGCAACTGACCTAGATGAAAAGTGGCGCAGGCGGGCAAACCTTCTCACGTGTTCGATTGTTCCGAGTTCCAGCCTTGTACTCAGGTGTGTTGAAATCTTTGACACCCACAGAGCTAGGAGCAAGCTCCCAGGCATGGCTACCATAGATCTGACCTGATCCCAATTCAAATACATCATCAGGCAGTAACAACAACTTTGGCCAAGCTAAGCCCGAGGCCGGAGGAACAGTGTCCATATCCATCAGGTTTCAGAGAGAAAGCCGGTGCCCATGATCTGGTGAAGGAGCTCGCTCCGTCAGTCGCACCACAAGTGGCTGCCACATAGCACCTTCCATGAGATCACCACGAGATTGCCTTTTGACAATTACTTGCGCGCGCACAACACACGGTTGGGGGCCATCGCAACGAGGTTGAAGGCCCTCGCTCTTAGTTCACACAGGTCAAGACTCAAAAGTGCCAAGATTCAAAAGTGCAGGTACGTCACGTTGAGAGTCACGAACGAACGAAAAAGGCCTGAGGACTACATGGAGGCCATCGTAATTAGATTGGAGGCCCGCTCAACAAGGTCAGAGGTCATCGCCACTAGGTTGGAGACCATGGCACTGACCATGTCCCTCAGGTCACAAAGGTCAAAGAATGTCAAAGACATTTGCCCGACATGAACCACCGCGAAAGCAAACCACAGCGAGAACAACAGTTAACCAGTTTGGCAGGTACGTTTGAAAACGGGTCCAAGAGGTCTTCGTTGGCCACCGCTCCACCCCGGTGGACCCCCACCAAATCCCTTGCAAATTTACACCCAAAGGTGACCTCCCAAAGGTGACCTCCCAAGGTGTCCACACACACAGGCATGCTCCAAAACCATACAAATCAAAGCAAAACGTTCCCACTTTGCGCACGGCGCACGCCTGTAGCCAGCATCCTTCCAAACACTCACGTACTTGGTCCCAGCATCCTTCTCCAAGCACTTCCCCCATGCTGCTTGCACCCATGCCTGACAGGCCGAATGACATGAACACTACAGTAATAAATATCATCAACGTGGAACTCCTATGAAAGTACTTTGGGCAGTGCAAACCTTCTCACGTTTTCGATTGTTCCGAGTTCCAGCCTTGTACTCAGGTGTGTTGAAATCTTTGACACCCACAGAGCTAGGAGCAAGCTCCCACGCATGGCTACCATAGATCTGACCTGATCCCAATTCAAACACATCATCAGGCAGTAAGAACAACTTTGGACAAGCTAAGCCCGGCGCCGGAGGAGCAGTGTCCATATCCATCAGGTTTCAGAGAGAAAGCAGGTGCCCATGATCTGGTGAAGGAGTCACCATTGGGACCACAAGTGGTTGCCTTGTAGCACCTCATCATGCAGTTGCCTTCTCACAACTCTTTCCAAACACGTTCCTAAGGACCCTAGAATTCAAAGCAGAAGAATGCGCCTGTAGCCGGCATCCTTCCAAACGCTCACAAACGCGGTCTCAGCATCCTTCTCCAAGCATTTTTTCCATGCTGTCTGGACCCACGCCTGACTTGCAGAATGCCATTCATCATTGACATCTACGAACAATATCAACGTGAAACTCAATGCAAGCACTCCCTTCACTGCAAATGGCTCAACTTTTTTGATGGTCCAAACCTCCTGCCTCGTACTCAGGTGTGTCGAAACCTTTTATGCCCCCTGAGCTAGAAGCAAGCTCCCAGGCATGGCTACCATAGATCTGACCTGATCTTGTGCTTTGCACCAAAAAACAGTGTCAAGGAAGAGAAGTTGCCGAAGACTGGCACAAATTACATTGGGTACAATGATCACACGCATGTTCCAAAAAAGAATATCATCCAGGCATTTCGAAACCCAGATTTCAGAACCTCAGCTGGCCAACTATGGCCAACATCCGTTCAATCAGCACTATCGCTGTGTCGGGTCGCCTCATACCAACAAACTCAGCATCCTGAGTGGCTGGCCGCTGCTGCAAAAACCATTGCCTAGAGACTCCAGCTGCTTGGCAGGGCACACCTGACCGGCTCGATCATCAATTAATTGTCGACTAGATATAAATAAACAGTTCACCAGTTCACCAACCCAGGCAGGCTAGGACGCTCCAGGTTTCAATTACCAACATAATCATCGGCATCTTGCCCAGGCAGTTCCTAGACTTGAGAAACGTATGTGTACGAAGGCAAAACGAAAAAGGTTCAAGACCTTCACATGTTTGGTTCAAGATATTTACATCCTTCTTTGCACAGGACACGAGAGGTCTTCCAGCCTGCGCCTGCGGAGCCTGCGGTTGTGGTGGCTGGGCCACTGTCAGCGTCCCTAGCGAGGCAGGCGATCCCAAACGAGCACAGTACGATCTCTGACAGAGCAAAACAAGAAAGCGAGCGAAGGGGAAACAAAGAAAGGCACCGCAAGGTGCAGGCGCCCATGATCTGGTGAAGGAGCTCGCTCCGTCAGTGGCACCACAAGTGGCTGCCGTGTAGCACCTTTCATCCAATTGACTTCTTATAGTTGCTCACACACGCGTGCCAAAACAAGACATACACATCTAAACTCTGCACCTGTAGCCAGCATCCTTCCACACGCTCACATACTTGGTCCCAGCATCCTTCTCCAAGCACTTCCCCCATGCTGCTTGCACCCATGCCTGACTTGCGAAATGTCGCGAACACTCTCATCAACATGGAACTGACCTAGATGAAAAGTGGCGCAGGCGGGCAAACCTTCTCACGTTTTCGATTGTTCCGAGTTCCAGCCTTGTACTCAGGTGTGTTGAAATCTTTGACACCCACAGAGCTAGGAGCAAGCTCCCACGCATGGCTACCATAGATCTGACCTGATCCCAATTCAAACACATCATCAGGCAGTAAGAACAACTTTGGACAAGCTAAGCCCGGCGCCGGAGGAGCAGTGTCCATATCCATCAGGTTTCAGAGAGAAAAGAGGTGCCCATGATCTGGTGAAGGAGCTCGCTCCGTCAGTCGCACCACAAGTGGCTGCCTTGTAGCACCTTTCACGCGAATGACTTCTCACAATTGTTCGAGCAAATGTTCCAAAA